TCGAGCAGCCTAGTCGCTGTGCCGGTCTGGTTACCGAGCCCATTTAACTGTTGCGTCAGATTAGCCATTGCGTCAAACTAACCACCGTGGTAGTCTCGTTGATGAGCAGCCTAGTCGTCATGCCGGTCAAGTGGCCGAGCCCATCTATCTGTCGAACTTGACTAACCTCTATGCTGGTCTTGTCATTGTGCTGGCCTAGCCCCATGATTAAACCTTGTTCCCTTCTTTTCTCCTTCACTCATCTGTTTTCTTATATCCTTCTCAGTTCTTGTTTTATATGTATCAAGGGTCCTTTGTCAAGGAGAACCCGGAAGGCTGTCGAATTGATACGAACTCGATCATGTTATTTTCTGTTTTCTTTTGAGTACACACGTCTGTGTGTGCTCACCCTATGACAAGGTGAGGTCTTCAGACCTACTTTTCTTGTAATCTAATGTGTGTGTGTGTGACTGTAAGAAAAGAAGAAACATGCCAAAAGAGGCGATTTCGACCCGGTCATAAATCTGGGGGGCATTCCAACGTGATCTAAGTGGGCACCCACGAAAGTTAGCCCGAGTGAGTCACGAATCCAGGTGAGGTAAGTCCCACCTCACACTTAATTCCTCTCTCACCGGTTGGTAATCCTGCTTGTGTCCTCCCGAGACGGTTCACAAGAGAGCAATCTCAGATCCCGGGTCCACATCGAACCCGAAGCCACTCCACCAGGTCAACACGACCTGGAAGGCGAGGTTGAGGCACTTAACCAGTGTCTACACAAAGATTGGTGCTCACAAGAAGTGATTGGCAGATCACTCTTGTTTCCCTTTGCTTTCGTTGCTTATGTTTATCGATATCCAAATCATTTGTTCAAGTTGGTCCAAACCCCCCACCCCAGTTACTTCAATGTAAGGCTTTAGGCCATGGTTTGAAGAAGAATGTTTCTCCCTTCACTTGTCCACTTGTACCTTGAGGTTGCGAGCCTGCAACTAGTAACCTTTGTTTTGTAGTGGAATGGAAGCCCCTTTATTTTTGCTTCAAATCTTGTTCTTTTCTTCTTCATGTGACTTTGTATGCGTGTTGTTCCTGCTTCCATGGTTTACGTACTCTTGCTTTTGGTCACTGTCCCTTCAACGGTTGTGAGCTATTGGGAGCCTTTCTCATGGACAAGCTTGACTCTCATGTGCCTTTGACTTAAACGCTCTTTCAGGTTTTCATTCAAGTCCTGAGGGTATGTGCCATTTCTAGTTTTCGTAAGACCCCGTAAGATTTTTTTGTGGCACTTTTGCCTCGTGGTTTTTACATCATGTTTGCCATTTTTTTCATTTTTTACTCACGATGCCCTTTCGGGTTTTCACGGTGCTTGATTCTTTTTTTTCGACATCTTTTACTCACGATAGCTGATGGTGCAACCATGACCCATCATTTTTTTCTTTTTATTTTCTTTTGCATTTCTTAAAGGTTTTTATCATGTCCGTCTTTGGAGGAGGCATCTTTAGGGTCATGTCGTCGGTACCGTAATGTTAGTGTATTCTAAGGCCGTACACCAAGACTTAGGGGCATTTTAAGCTTGAGCTTCCTAGATTGTTTTTAAGGTCGTACACCAAGACATGAAGGCATGTTTAAAGTTGTGCATCCAAGACCGTAATGACAATGTGTTTTCATGTTGTACACCGAGACCTAAGGGTGTGTTTAAGGTCATGCCTCTGAGACCGTAATGGTAGTGTGTTTTAAGGTCGTACACGAAGACCTGAGGCATGTTTTAAGGTCGTGCTTTCGAGACCGTCAATTAGGAGTAATATTTCTTCGGTAGCAACCACTAATTGGAGGCATGGCTTCATCTCTATTAGAACGAGCCAACACATAGGCTCCATTGGGCAAGGCTTTCTTGACCACAAATGGCTCCTCTCGTTTTGGTTTGAACTTGCGTTTGTGACATCCATGCATGATGATGGGTCTTCTTACAGCTAAGACCAATTCACCACAGGTGAACGAGCATACCGTGACTGCTTTGTCGAAGGCTCGTCTCATCCTGCCCCGATGGATTTCTAGGCTTTGCTGGGATTTAAACCTCTTCTCATCAAGTGCATTAAACTCTTGGTAGCGAAGCTTGGTTTTCTCATCTTTGGTAATGTCGTGATGAATGACAATACGAAGTGAAGCAAGTTAAACTTCAAGAGGTAAGACAGCTTCACTCCCATAGAGCAGGGAGTAAGGAGTGGAGTCAGTGGTGTTCTGTGTAGTGGTGCGGTAGGCCCATAAGACTTCGGGAGTTTCTCATGCTAGTTCCTCTTTGTCTTTGAAACATATTTTCGCAAGATATCATGGAGAGTCTTGTTGAAGGCTTCAGCAAGACCATTGACTCGAGGCTTGTACATAGTGGAGTACATCCACTCAAAACCAAATTGGTTGTCCAATCGGTCGATTTACTGGCTTCAAAATTGAGGGCCATTAGTTGATGTAATCTGGTATGGGACACCGAATCTGTAGATAATGTGATGCCGGACGAAGTTAGCTACCATAATCCCGGGAACATGCTTGAGAGGATTGCTTCGGCCCATTTGGAGAAGTAGTTTGTAACGGCTAGGATAAAGACGTGCCTCAAAGCTGAAGGTGGGTCAATAGGCCCTACAATGTCCATGCCCCAATGTAAGAAGAGCCATGATGCCACTGTAGGGTGGAGGGGTTTTGGAGCCCGATGGATGAAGTTTGCATGTATTTGACAAACTTGACATCTTTTAGCATAAGCTAAAGAATCTGCGACCATGGACGACCAGTAATAACCCAATCTTCAAATCCACTCATAGAGCTTAGGGCCAGATTGGTGTAGTCCGCAATCCTGATGTTCACCACTTCGAGTACCTACCTCGACTCTTTCACATCAATGCATCTAAGAAGGATGCCAGCGAATAAACGCCGAAAGAGGACATTGTCTTCGAGCAGAGTATATTTGGTGGATATCCTTTACATGTTGTTATGCTCAATACGATCATGTGAGAGATGTCCGTGTTTGACAAAAATGAATATGGGCTCCCTCCTATCTTCAACTTGCTCTACCTTAGTGCACAACGGATCAAAGAACTCGGCCTCTTATTTATCAGGCTCAGCAATCAGGGTTCGCTCAACGTCCTTCTCAGCATTGATGGCAACTTTGGCGACGAGCAATGCCCCGAATGGATAAGGTGGGAACTCTGGGAACAAGACCTTTTCATCATCCGCATCGATTAGCTCAATATGTCTCCATTCCGCCACCCATATTGGTGTAGGTTCTTTCAATGGAATCTAAATGGTCGCGCCAAGCTTGACGAGAGCAGCAGCTTGTGAGTTCAATTTTCGAGGGATGTGCTCAAGGGAAAATACATCAAGTCGTGCCATCAGGGTCTTAGTAGTATCATGGTATGGCTTGAGACAATCCTTAAGCTGGTTGGGCCTCGATCTCATTATGTTGAGGACGTGAGCGAGAACCCGAATATGCGATCTGGCTGGAGATCGATATCTTAAAAACTGTTGTGTGTGTAGTGTGCGTGTAGGTAGGTACTAACTAGTGAGAGAGAATTAAGGGGTGTGAGGTGAGACTTACCTCACAGTAGGTTCGTGACACGCTTTGGCATATACACTGCCCTAAAAACACAAAATCAAAGCCGTAAACTTTGACATTTTAAAACTCATTTCATCCAAATATCTTCAAACCCCTAATTTTTGCCCAAAAATTCCCAGTAAATGGAAGAAAAAGAACTAAACCATTGCTCGAATATAAATATTGGAAAGTAGGGGTACATGGATTCTTGAGTCTCTATCATCAAAGCGAGCGAGGTCTCTATCATCAAAGCGAGCGAGGGCCTCTAAGGTATGGTTTGCTTGTTTTAGAGAGCAAGTTGTGGTCTTTAGAGTAAGCATCTAGCTCTATTCTTCATCTTAGGAAGCTTCAAGGTCCACCTCCGAATTCATAAAAAAAAATGTATTATATTAACCAATAAAAAAATACGATATTTGGGGAGAAGGTGCGGAGAATTAACTCATTTTCTTGAATAGCACGTAAGTAGAAGGGGAGAGAAAGAAGAATGTATTGCACCAACTAAGAAAAAAATACGGCAATTTGGGGAGAAAGTGTGGAGAATTATTGGAAAAAATGTTTCTATGACAAAGCCTCTCTCAATCTTCCGTCCAAACATCTCAACTCATTATTGAATAGGACACGTGTACGAAACGATTATCACCATTATCATAGTTTTTTTTAGGGAAAATATCTCCATACCCCGTATTTTTAAATTTTATATCTCTATAGACTCAAGACTTCAAAACATATCTTGGGTCATAGAAATTCTAAATCTTGTATCTTCTAACCCCTTAAGCTAACTTTATCCTTTTTAAACCTATTTTTTGCCCCAAATAAATATAATAAAAACATATCATTTCCAAACACTATCCTTTACACCATCATTTCTCTCTCTTCAAGTGATTTTCTCCTAAATATCTATCTCCATGAATTTTCCCAAACCCTCTCGCTCTCTATGGTTTATTTTTCTTTATATATTTGCTTGATTTATGTGGATTTTTTCTATTGATTGGTTGGATATTATTCGTATGGATGATTAACTGTATGTAGATTGTGCTTATTTTTGGGAAACATGGGTAGAGAGAGCGAGAAACCTAGAGAGAGAAAGTGGGGAAAAATATATAAAGAGAGAAGGGATTTGGAAGAATCTCAAAGAAGAGAGAGAAAAAGAGAAATTTGAGGAATATATCACATAAAGATAAAAAGAGTTTAGAAATAGTATATCTTTTTTATATTTGTTAAGGTTAAATAATAGTTAAAAGTGGATAAAATTAGTCACGGTTTTAATAAATATATTTTAAATATTTAAGTCTATTCAAATATAAAAAAAAATAGAAGAGAGACATAGGGATATTTTCCCTTTTTTCTTACTATTTAAGATCGAGGACACGAGCGGTGATCCATCGTGCATACCTTCAAAGAGAATATAAATCGCCATTATCTTTTTTTTTCCACTTTAAACCGTATCTTGCTTTATACAACAAAACAGTAAAAAAAAAACCAGAAAGCAGCCCGTCTTTTTTTGTTCAATCACCTCCCCCTCTCCTCTCAGTCTAGTTCCGACAGAAAACAACCCGTTGTATGCGCTGGACTGTAAGCGGCCTGTACGGCCCACTTTCTCTGTCCATCATCCTAATATGAAAAGTTAGGCTTTTGTTTGGTGGTTCCATCTGTCAGATCTCTCGACGACACCTTTCTGAACGATAGTTAGGGTTTTTCTGATCAACGCGTTCTCCATTTATTTTCTGAATCGAAATCAGTACTGCACTGGCTTTGCTGGTATCGCAATGGGCATCTGGGATTCCTTCCTCAACTGGCTTCGGAGGTTCTTTCTCTCTTGTCTTGTGTTTGGTTGATTATTTGGGGCGTTTATTCTGATTATCAATTCTAGATTATATTCCTGGGATATTGGTATATTTGGTACCTATGGAAGTGCATAAAATATTCTTTTATGTCGCTGATGAATAAGGTTTTCCATAATCATAATGGGATTGTTCTTTTTTCTTTCAAAAAAGAAGGCAAAAAAGATAACTGAATAACAATCGATTTTGCATTTAGGGATATAATTCACTTATAGTGGTAATTTCATTTCAAATATGGTATGTTTCTCCATCCGATAAATAGCTTTTTTACCTGATCATAATCTGAGATTTTTATTGCCAATAATGAGAATCTAACTGGTAATATGTTGTTGCCCCACTTTATCCACTTTTTAACTGCAATCATGAGTGATGCAGTTAGAGAAAAATTGCTAACAAGTGAAGAAAACATAATCCACAGAATTCTAAAACTCAATCTAATAAGTGAAGAAAACATTGTCTTTGTAATTCTAACTACCCTAAAATATGTACAGCATTAGTATATATTTGACCGAAACTAATCATTATTGGTCTTAAATAATTTAAAAGAAAAATTTTCAATGGGAAATTTCAAATCACTCCCAAGAGATGCCTTGTATGACATGTCAGCTGTTATTTATGTTGTCCTAATTTCGGAAAGCCCTCAAGGAAATGCCAATAATGGGTCATTATTCAATTAGAAATAGTTGAGGGGCAGTTTTCAATTTTATGGTCATTAGTCAACTAAAAATAGTTGAGGGGCAGTTTTCAATTTTAGCTCTCCAAAACATGTTATTTACTCTTATGTGTGGTATTGGCTTTCTCTAGTGTATAGAAAGTTGACTTGGCCAAGCTACTTGGCCCTTAGCCAAGCGGAGTAACTTGGCTGAGTCAGGACTCGGCTGGGTCATCATACAGTGGGCTGAAAATCCCTCGATAAATTGAAAAAAAATAACATAAAAAATCAAAAAAATAAAGAAAATGTAGTAAAAGAAAATTTAAACAAAAAACAACCTTAAAGATCCCAAATAAGCTTAAAAATTATTGGAAAAATGGATTTAGAAAAAAACAGGTTTATAGTTGGGGGCATTTTAAAAAATCCAAAGAAAAGGTAATATAAAAATAGGGATTTGTGGCAAAAATAGTCCCTAATGTTTGTCAAAAACATATAAATCATATGCAAAAAATTGATATATCATCCCACATTTTTTATGATGTTCTTAGAATTTTTTCAATTTTTTTAATATCCTCGAGTTGTACACACAACTCTGGGATACTCGGCCTCGCACATAGGCTGAGGCAGAGTTACTTGGGCGAGTCGGATTAGGTTCGGCCGAGGCCTAGTGGATTCGACTGACTCCCAATACACTACGAATATTGGTATTTTCAAGCATCACTATCTCACTATGTCACCAGTATTTTTAGATACCGTTACCTCATTTGTGTCATGTTTTCACAAGATACTCATGTAGCATACAACTTTAGACACCTTGTGAGATATTGGTATATTTGAACACATAGATCTCACAAATATGTTACCCCGTGAAATTTTCATATGTTTGAACACCAATATCTCATCGGTGTTTTTATAGTGACGTATCTATATATATAAAAATACCAGTACCTCACATAGATCATCCTAAAAGCCATTTGATTATACCTCATCTAATAAGTCACCCTATGAGATATTCCTGCTTTTGGACACCAATATCTCAATAAGCCACCTATGAGATATTGGTATTTTCATTTGCCAACATCTCATTGGTTGCTCGAAGTGAGATATTAAGATACGAAATAACAACCTATCATATAGGTTACGTGGGAAACCGCTCTGATTTTGATGAAGGGGCAATTTTTTTAAATTCAAAACTAGAATGCTTTCCTTTGAAGCAGGTGACTCTCTAAAGCACTTCTCTCAACTGACCAAATTGAAGCAGGCTCCGAAGTGAATTAATGATCTTAGTTCCAACAAGTTTGTAGTGTTAGATAGATTGACGTTATATTAGGCTATTAAGGTCCAATGAGCAAAGAGGGGAATGTGTTAGTTGTGTGATAAAGTTTAGGGAGGCCATTAAGTTTGGGCTGGAGGTGGTAGTTGTCACGAGGTTCACTTTTCACTAAGTTAAACTATGTGGCTCCATACCTAAGTTGAACCAAGGATAAGGCAAGGCCAACTTTCCATAAACATAGACTCAAGAAATGGAGCAATCCAACAAAAAAGGCGCCCACAAGTAGTAAACAAAGGGTTGTAGCCTTCCTTTATTGCACTATACACTTTGCCCTCTTTTTTCTTTGTTGTTTATCAGAGCCTTAAACTCTACCTATTTGAGCACTAAATCATTCCTTAGTTAGATTTTTCCTGATCTATTTATTCAAAGCCTTAGGGTTGATTTAAGACAAAAAAAAGAAAAAAAAGAACTAAATTTGACAGATTTCTTTTATGTTGAAAAAAGCAGCCAAGTTTTTTGTCTGATTTTGGAAATTTGCGATTACTTCTCAATTGATGGAAATCTTCAATAAAATTTAATCCCGAAGCCTATTTTTATGTGCTTGTTCGAATTAAAGGCTAATTTTTATCCCCCCGCCCCCAAAAAAAAAAACAACAATTAGGATTTGGAAGATTTGAAATTCAAATTTATTATTCATCCGAATTTTCCAAGTGCTCATGTCTCCTTGATCTGAACTTGAAACCCAAAATTGGTTTAGGTATTTCATTTTGGGCTGCCAAAGGAACCTTTAACATGGATTGGATGCATTGGTTCCCTATCAAGATGGAAGATTGGGGGTTTGGCCTCGAAATGTCAAAGGTGTTTCGCTTTTTTCAATTTAAATTCATAAACTTGATTATTTTTTATTAAATCAAATATAAGTGATTTGTAATTCATTTTGTATGTATTTTATATTTTTAAAATTTTTCCACTTTTCCTAATTTTTGAAATGCTTTTTTTAAATTTATGACTCTTTAAACCCAATAATATAAATTTTATTCCTATTCCATGTTTGATATAGTTTTTGGTTCTGTATATTTGTTTAAAGTTTTAGTTATTTTTTCGGATTTTTTTTTATTTTTATTTTTTTTTTTACATTTTTCACTTTTCTTTCATGTCTTTGTGCCTTTTTATGGTGCAAACATGACTTCGGCAAGCCCAAAGGGACTCCTCTAAGTCACTCAGTTGGGGCAGGTGCTGGGTATGCTGCCAAAGCCATGTTCTAAAACACTGACAATGGTCATTAAGCCTGCAAACCACTATTGCCCACCAACTAGTGTTGGCAGTTGCACTAGCTAACTTCCCACCTTCAACAACTGCTTGCATGACTCATTAACAGTAGGTTACAAGTCTGGTCAACCTAATCGATGGCTTATTATGCCCACTCTCCCTACTACATGTGCACATACCTACTCAAATATAGCCTATCTCTCATTACACAAACCCATGCTTGGGGCTGTTGCATGCAGTTGCATATTTCGAATTTGAATTGCCTTGCTTTAGGGTCGACGCACCTGCCCAACCAAGTGTAGAGTCAGATGTCTCTTGCACGTGCTCTGCGCCCATGTCCCATCAGCTGCCCATGGTCTAACTCTGTGTCATCCTTGTTGGTCTTAGAGTGTCCCACTGACTTAGCCATCTTTAGTGACTCTTGACCAAGGCCTCGCACCAAGGGTCTTTAGGTGCTAGCCCACTTGGCTGTGCATGCATATGTGCATTACAGTGCACCAACCTCACCTCTCACTCAGTAAAGGCTAAAATATCTCAACTCATATGGACCTCTCAGTGCTCTCACTCACTCAGTTGGTCTAATAACTTACCTGCCAGTAGAAAGAGCTAATTTTCCGAAGTAGCACTAGCCCATAGAGGACTTGCTGGTCCATCGTGAATTATTTTGATGCTAGGGGTTCTGCACAACCAACTTACCTCCCATGCGTGATGCTAAGGGAAGGGGTCTAACAATTGTCAGTGCTGGTTTGAAATTTGGCCTTGCAAATTTGTATTTGGGCCATAACTGAAATCGTAGGGCATCATCATTGAACTAAATGTCTTACTTACGCACTATGTGGAGTTTGGGACTTCTGGTTAGTCTAGAGTTTGTTCATGCATTTCCATGTGCGGTCCTCAATGGAATGGGGTGCTGGTAAATGTCAGTAAGTTTCAGTTATGTCCTTTGCTAAAGGTCTCTTGTGTTTTTGTGTAAAGAGACACTCATTTCCGAGTATGATCATTACTACCACTGCTAAATCCATGACTTTTAGATTTTTGGTGGCAACATTGCAAGTTTAGTACTTTAAACTCTTAATTTGGGACATACATTTGGCGTGTCAGGATTCAGGAAGTAGAGGAAATCTTGGATGGCTCGTTTTATCGTATCAGCTGGAGCGTTTCTTTGATTTGTTGATGCTAAGAATAGTCACTAACTCTTCATCTTTATGACTTGTTAGTCTGCTTTAGTGTAGAGGTGGTAGGTCTCTCTAGAATTATGATGTGTCCCACTGCCATCTTTTGAGTATTTGGTTGAAAAGAACAAAAAGATCTCTAGAGATCCCTTTAAAAAGCAATAATTTTGTTTATGAGATGGTTCACAGTTCTTATATCTTTTGGGCTCACTTGATATTCTGTAGTTTCAATGGATTACAGCTCTTGACTAGTGGTGAGATTCGAAGACCGTAGTTTGTAGCAACTGTCAAAGAGCTACCAAAGACCACAAAGCCTAACTTTGAGCTTTCCCCAAAGGGAACGTAGTTCTTTTGCTCAAGTATATATGGCACAATTGTTAGGTGTGTATTTGGGGAACCTATGATGGAGATTAAGAATATGATTAGCAATGGGAGCAGTTTTAGTTTTTGGGGTGAATTTTGGTGTGCTTCAGTACCACAACAAGTTTCGGTCCCATCCTTTACAAGCATACTCGTGATGAGTAGGCTGGTGGTGTTCAGTACTTTGAGGGGGGGGGGGAATGCAAATGTGTGCAACTTAGGAGGGAATTGTGAGAA